AAGAGAGAGATAATCTTCTAAAACTGTTCTCCAAAAACAAAACTGCACCTAAAGCAGACGTTGCTTTTGAGAATATATGGTTTATTCACAGCTATAAACACCTGCCAAAGAGCGACTGTTACAATCTGAATGGCCCTACTTCTGGATGTAACAGCTCTTGCTCATGTATTTATGTATACTAGTATAAGAAGTTTGTCAACAAGTACAGCCATCCACAGGAAGCAACATATTGATATAAGTTTGAAATTATTTACTGGTTGACACACTCTCTACGAGTTTGCACATTTTCTGGACCATTTCCATTTAAACTTTATTTTACAGTACATTTCAATGCTTGGCCTTATTTCCCGCCTGTTTCAGATCAGACAACTCATGGCCCAGTCTGCTGTCAGAGTGGAGGGTGCAAACACATACAAGTTTCTGAGCTGAAACCTCCTAACCCTGTAATGGCCTCTACCATGTGGTGAAGCATCTAACACTTATGGAACAACACGTGAGTCACCTCTATGTCCATGTGTCTTCAGGTGAGAGTCAGGTTTTAAATTTAAGCTGTGGTTTTTATCAGATAGATAGATAGATTAGATAGATAGATAGATAGAGAGATAGATAGAGATATGTAGATAGATGATAGATAGAGAGAAATAGATAGATAGATAGATAGAAGATAGATAGAATGACTTTTTACATAACAACATTTATTTAGTATTTTTTTTTCTCTCTGTTTTCCCACTATTAAACCCAGAGCTCCTGTAACTAATTTTTTTATTGATTATTTTATAGCTTGTTATTAGACAGCGACAGTGAAGAGAAGACAGGAATGAGGGAGAAGAGAGGGGTATAAATGCAACAAAGATTGACCAGCTGGAATCAAACAGAAGGCGGTTTGTGATCAATGTGTTTACATAGTAATGCACTGTAACCATTCAGATACAGACCAACCAGATCTGAATTTGACTGCCAAAGGACAAGGATAGGCATTTCTGGTGGGAGGATTAATCAAGATGTATAAACTGGCAGTGTGTATCAGTTTCTGTTCTGTATTCTTCTTTAATTGTTTCCTCTCCTACAGGGTCCTGCATTGTTGGTTGGACCTTATTTGGTATTTTGCTTTTCCTGAATGTTGCTGCTGCAGTGTGGTATCTGTATAAATCCGGGAAATTTCAAAGGTACCAAACACAGTAGTACTGCAGACACTTACATACTACTGCTTTGTATATAAGCATTTTACATACTGTAAATCCTTTGTTGTATATTAATTGGTTCATTTTCCAGAATTGGAAAAGGTACAAGCTGGAGGAAAACGATGGGCAGCTGACAATGATCAGGAAAAGAACAAGCAGTGAGTCTACGTGCAGAAGTAAAGTCCAACATTCAAATCTCTGACAAAAACTTAATTTAACAATTGTGTTTGTGTTGTGTGTGACCTTTGTATTTTTGGAACTGACACAGATATTAATGATAATAATAAGAAGGAGATATATACTTTATAAATCCCCTTTTGGGGAAATTCTTCTTTTCGCTCT